CTGGAGCAACTGTTTCACAACAGTTTCCTGTCCTGTTCCAGCTGCCAGATGCAAAGCTGTTTCGCCATTTGCATCCACTGCTTCCTTGTTGGCACCAGCCTGGAGCAACTGTTCCACCTCAGTTTTGTCTCCTTTTGCGGCTGCTCGGTGCAGAGCTGTTTGCAACCATGGCCTGCTAGCCGGGCCTTGTTTTGCAGCCTCCACGAGGAAAGCTCTTGCAGCTGCAGCAAGTTGTGCGGCTATGTCGTGAGCTTGTGCCTGCCCCTCTTCAGTTGCATTGTTTGCACTTGCGCGGAGCAACAAGTCTATACTTTTCCTTGTCGCCATTTGCAGCAACATCCAGCGCAGGGGTAAGATCGCTTGCTGCTCTTGCTTCCGGCTTCTTGTAGCCTTCCACAGCTTCCTTGTCAGCACCATCATGGGATGCAATCCGGGGCTGAGAGTTTGAAGGAGGCCGTGGCCACCATGTGTGAATTCGATGTCCGACTGCTGCTAGCAAGCCACTGACACTGAACGTCTTGATTAGAAGCCGGCCAGATTTCTTGGAATGCCCAATTGTTGGGCCAGTGTTCCTCTTGGCAATTGGCCATTTCATCCAAGAAAGCCCATCGGCTTCTGTCTCGTTGCTCCACAAGTTCTTGGAGTTCCGTGGTGTGTGAGGAGATTCCAACTTTCTTGGTTCACAAGACTGCAAGCTGAAACCAAGCCACTCAGTCTCCGGCGACACAACTATTCCTTTCATCCGACTCAGAATTGAAGGCTGGTCATGATGAGCACTTCCAATGGAATGGGCAATAAGGAATGCCAACAAAACAATATTGATGATCAACCGCGTCCAAGACCCGCTCAAGCTTCTCTTGCATGTCTTCCAACGTCTGGTCACAACCACCGGAAGAGCACCCGTAGGTCGTTCGGACGTTTCTGGATGATCCAGACGATCCATCGTAGAGATGTCGGCAGACTCTATGAGATTGTTGGACGATCTTCCTGACTCCCCGACCTGAGGATTTGCAGACATGTCTCCTGAGCTTCTCGGCAATTCCTGGGCCTCGATGTTGGCAATCTCTGGCTGCCTGGAGGGGATCGACGGTGCAGCAAACTCTGTCACCGTGGCTGTCAAAGAAGCACCTGTAGAGCTTTGGGACAGTTCTACTGGCTGCGCTCCGTCCATCTCTGACCCTTCAACTGGTGCGTGGACGTCATGCGCCTCGCCGAGCAATCCATGAGCCATGTCCGCATCGACTGTTGGTCGCCTCAAGCCGAGATCCCTCAGAGATGCAAGAGTTGACTCCATGACCTGTGAGGATGCTTCCGACTCAGCGGCTTCGTACCTTCCGTCGGAGGGGTCCCTGAAGGTCACAGCAGGCATCAGCCCCCGCTGTTCCATCGTTGCGAGCAATTCCTCGGCAACTTCAATCGAAATATGGAGACGGCTGCAAATGATCATCAATTCCTCTCTGGGAAACCCTGCTCTGGTCATTTCGGTGTGGGCAAAGGATCCAGACATGGCATCATCACTTCTCACCTCAGTCGTCTCAAGGTTGGCAAGCGTCGGTGGGATGTCGTCTTCCATCTGCCTGCGGTCGGCCTGCGAAACGAGGGTATGCCCTGTGCCTCCCTCTTCGCCGCGACGCCTCAGATGATGTTTCTCAATGTGGCGTAGTTGTTGGCGAATGTTTCGGAGCACCTCATTCCTTCTCTCACCTTAGAAGGGAGCGAACAAGGACAATCTCACCTCATGCTGTGAACCCTCAAGTCTATGCTGAAAACACGTTATAGCGTACGTTGTAGAGAGTATATATATCTTTTAACTTATAATATAGATTAATGGGTTCTTTATGATTTTTTTGTGGAAAGCATTTCCGGGATTGAAATTCAGGTGGTTTCTTTAAAGAAGGAAACAGGAACAACACGGACTTTCCTACTCATTCTACAGAAGCAGGTCAGGAGATGGGCAAAGGTGGAATGGCTAAATAAATGTTCACCAACAAACAGAAATTGTTCGTTTGCCAAGAAAGCCATTGGGGATCATCCAAGCTCTTCTCTACAGGGGAGCCTTTTTGATCACGTCGCATACCTTTCGGGTAAGTTTGGAAAAGCATCCTCCTCAAATGGGTCGTTGGGACTGTCGCGAGCCTCGCACACGCCTGCAAAACAATTCGTTCAGTGGCATGCAAGCAGAACTCTATGGATCCCAATGGGCCTAAGGGGTTTTCCTCTGAGCTTTGGGAAATACACGCGAACAACAAAGCAGTCCAAAACAATTCAGAGTGACTCAAATTTGTCATCTCTCTTCTCAAATTCACGTGGGCTGCTCGTGGAGTGATCTCACCTGTGGCATCATCATGGGCTTCAAACCTCCATGGCTGATTCTTCAGGAGTGGCCTGACCCAATTAAAGACGTTGCGAGCAAATGCTTCTTGCTGTTCTTCAATGGATGCATCTTCATTCCCTTCAACTGGGAGTGGATCATCGGAAAACACACATGCATGTCCATCCACAAACGCTTTCATGCACTGCACCTGCGCTGTCCACCATCTTGTATCCACACGCTCTTTGGCGTATTGGTTGGCCACCCTTAGGGCTGAGGTCATTTGCAGGTCGGCCGGCACAAGAGCCAGCACCTTTGCCAGCACATCGGCTGGCAGCACATCGGCTGGCAGCGCCATGAGGTAGCCAAGCGGGCGATGAGAAACAAATTAAGGAATGAACAATAACAAACATGAACAATTGTTTCTTCGAGTGTTTCTGACTCTTGCACATGTTAACATGATGGTCTGGTGGACTGTAAACATGTTGTGGTGATGGAAATGGCAATCTGCAGCTATTCCTGGAGAGGGTCTGTACTTGAACGCTCCACTTTGGGGGTCTAGTCACTGACTAGCTCTAGGCACAAGGCAGCTTTGAGCCTTTCGCATCAAGCACCAAAAGCTTGGTCACACATTCCGATAGCTGCCGCACCTGACTGCAACTGGTGGGTTGGCTTGGTGCTTCTCCATGACACGACTGTCCTTACATGTCTAAACCCCCAACCCGGATAAGTCCAGCTTCACGCACCATCAGTTCACTCACCCCCCCAATCGCTTCCAGGCTCTTCACCAAACAGCGCAAGACAACGCGCTTCGCCGGTTCGTGGCCCCCCCGGCCGTGACGAGGTGATCCTCTCCGCCGGAGGCCAGGCACCGGAGGTTCGGACCTCGTGAACGAGCGAGGGAGCGCTGTCCGACATCGAATGGATCGGAGAGCGGAGGGCGGAGCGGAAGGGCCTTTGGCGTGGTCGTTTTCATGGACGCTTTCGGGAGGGCGGGACTAGGGAGAAGCACTTCTTAAGTCTTAAGCCAAGGGAGAAGAAACAAGATCAAGGTAGGTTAGATGATAAACGTGTGAACCAAGGCTCATCTACTTTCTGAGCAATCTTAAGGGGTTATTTTTGGTTTTGGATTTCGGAAGGCCGATATCGAAGGACCAAGATCTGGGGTGTTGAATGGACACTAGAGGTTCCAGGACGGGCCTGTGGATTGTTTGCATGTCTTCACGTCTTCACTTGTCAGGGAGAAAGGTACCCTTGTGATCCCTTATGTATATACCCTTCCAAAAGTGCGCAGCTGATTGATGATGATTGTTGGTACAAGGTTCTTGGGCTTCTGGGGTTTGGCATGGTCTGGGTCTTCCAGTCTCGCAAAGCTATAAAAGGATAACTCCCAAGAATTGGTGGAACTATGCATGACTTTTGGGGGTGAGGGTTGTCGATGCTTTTGCTGGAAAGGTTATGACAAACAGCCTAGATTGAACAACACATTCCTTTCAACATGATGAAGACATTGCTACTATATTCGCTGCTTGGTAACTTTCCAACATATTGCAAAAGACGAATCAACTAACTTTCTCTGGAAGCATCCACGTCGACATGCAAAGGGCACAAGCGAACAGCTCCTTCCTCCATGCCAAGCAACTCCACGCGAGTGCACGCACTGTGTGGCTACAAGGCCTAGGCTGGGCCATTCGTCTCATTGCGACAAACGTCGTGTCACTTCTCACAAAGCACGGTCGGACCAGAGACTTGACGATTAAAGAAACCAAAATGAACTACCAAGGTTGTTACCATACCGATAGCATATACAACTTACAGAAATAGCTTTTGATTTGACAGAAGCCCTGTGGCATCTTTCTGTGTTTTGCCTCATTGGAGAGGAGCTGTGGCACTCCAGCATCCGATAATATCACAGCTGGGATGCTTCCAAGACACTTTGTGTCTTCAGTTCGCTGGACCTTTTGCAGAGTGTGTAGTTTGATGTTTGAAGGAACAACAGGGACTCTGAGCCTGTTTCATGACATACAAGTCTTGTGCCTGTGGCTCAACCAATCAAAGCCAGGATCCGCAGGTTGGGTTTCTGTTTCCTACAAGGAGGCTTTGGGTAGCAGCTGTAAACATGCACTGTCCCACGTGCAGTTGCTGCTGCTCTCTACAGACCACAGTCGCGTAGAGGCAAAGGGAACCACCGAGCCTCTGGTTGAGCACCACGGAGTGAGCATGAGATGAGATAGAAATAGGTATCTGACGGTATCTGTGTTGAGGGGCATTCAGTATCTGTCCATCAATCACACCAATTGTTGCGTGTGGCATAAATTCCCAAGCGTTTTGACTGACATGGGACCCACATTCAACAGGCATCTAGCAGGGTGTCATCCACTACGAAATCATTGCAGAACACCTCTCAATCAAATCTCTTTTACCCAGGTAGTTCTTCAGATGGCCTTGAAGAACACCTCATCATGTGGGATCATGTTACAAACGGTCGCATCGTGCCAGAACTGCAGCAACCCCTGCCTACCAGGAAACAAAGGGACACAAACAGTCCCCATACCTCACCTGAACTCGGGTTTTATGTTGTTTTTAAATGCATTTTCATTGTCTTTTTAAATAACACCCTATGTTTGATCCGTTTGATCCGTTATGTTTGATCCGTTTGCCACTTCTCCCGCATCTTCTCCAGTCGGAACGGGTCGGCGACGGGTTTTATGTGGTTTTTCATGGTGTTTTTTGATGAAAGCACCTTAAAACATGTGGTTTTACAGTCCCCATACCTCACCTCACCCATGTTTGATCCGTTTGCCACTCGACGCATCGAACTTAGTCATCGAATGGGTCGACAACGACGACCGTCACCCACTCTCGGCTTGACTCAAAGGGGCAAATCGCCCTCGTGATCAAAGTCATTGAGCACGTCCACCAACGACTCGGCGCGTGGGAGACGCATCGACGGTCATTCAACGGAGAGTTTGGTCCAAAGATCTCCACGTAGAGCTGTTCTGCAGCTTCTCCTTCCCCGCTCCAAGCATGTCCCCTAGAGTCTAGAGCTGTTATTCTGTGCTCCTGTGCCTTCTCCCCCCACAAAGTGGCCAAAGCGGCAGAATTCGGTGCCTTCTCGCTGTTCAGTGCCTTTTTCCTTCTTCATTCACTTACGCCCCAAGTAGGAACCCGGGTGTCTCTGAGCCTCTTGCCAAACGAAGATGAGGAGGAGGTCTATTCTTTTTGCCGTCATGTGACGCGTCCGTACAGTGGGTCTACAATCCAAATCTCCAAAGCCTCCAACCCACCCGTTCGACTTGGTCAGACCTCTGTCGAAGTCGACTGGGAGCTTGTTTCGGCGATCGATGTCCCCCTACTCAACCGGGACTGATGGGTTTTCCAAGTCCGGCAGGACTTGTAGAGACCAGAAAGGAGCAATACTGGAATACCGGAAGTACTTCATTCTCTGGAAGTATTGAAACATGGCAATAGACTTCCAAACAAGGAGCTAGTAGAGTGTTTCATTATGTCTTTCCATCGTTCACCCCCTCGGTAAGGGGCCACCAAAACGAAAGCAATGCACCAAAACAGAACTGAACCAGGGTTCTGGCATGCCAGAAAGGGGAGGGGGATATACCAATTGGCACCGTACTGCGTTGGTAGAATAGCCAATAAATCGGTGAAGCCAGACTTCAGAGCTCTGCACTGCACTAAGTACTTGAGCACCGCGGCAGAGTAAATGGTGGGCCCCATCATGACACAAAAGACTACTCTCCCACCTTCAGAGGAAAAGGAACTTACATTACAGAGTAGTCTGTTTGAACTTGATTGAATAGAACTTGAGGAATAGAACTTGATTGACAACCTACAGACTTTGGAGTGTCAATCAAGTCGTGCCCAGTTGACTCATATTAAACCTTCGATCATCGCCTCCTGGCATGACCCGATTCTGACTGACTTGGCACGACGGCGATCGCAGAAGAAGGACAGCATGCAGTTCTTGAACAGTACCTTGCAAAAAAGACTCTTCTGGGTGATGTAGCTCAAATAGGGAGACCTCCCAGGCAATGACAACCCTAAGAAGGTTTCGGAAAACTAGACCAGTATACAGTATACCCACCCTTCGATTGGGCCAGGGTGTCTCCCTATCAAAAATCCACCGCCAGATTTGTTTGTTCTTCTCCAAAAAGAGCCTTCACCTTCCACACCTTCTGCCCCCTTCCAACACCAGCTCCAAGGCCAAGGACGATGAGCTTGTTGTCGCCCGCCACCGCCAAATATCGCCCGTCCGGTCTAAACCTCGACCGGTCGGTCCGCGGTCTGCGACCGCTCAGACAGCGCGGTCTGCGTGATGCGTTGAAGACAAGGTTAGTGATGGTTGGTTGGTCCAAACGACTTGGCCTCCAATAGAGCTATTGGGGCACTACAGTAGATTTCTACTCTAGATGGGTATTTTCATCTACATCGTTTGGAAAGTTGTTGGCGCAACTCAAAAAACAAAAAAGGCGGGAACAGCCGCGCCATGTATCTCCTGGCTAGTTGGAGAAGTGATAATTACTATGTCATCCCACCATGGAGTTGGATGCCTCTAGCAAGCAAGCACCTAAAAAACCACCCATGGACCCAGGGTGTTCTTCGGACACCACTCCCAACGAGGCGGGTTTCGAAGCGAGACGTTGTGGCACTCCCGGCGCGATCAGCTTGGGAAACTCCAAGGGATGTCAGACGTAGGTGGTTTCAGTGGAGTACAGATCGAAACACAAGAACAAGAAGATCCAGCAATTGATCAGAAAACATCGATCAGAACTTCAAGTGGGATCACTCGACAAATCCAGCAGCAATCCACTTGTGGCTCATCAAGTACGTTCCTTTCCGAATGTGGAACATCTCAATACATCTCACAAGTTGACGTGTACCCGTACGTCCTCTCTCTGTCTGTCTGTTTGGATAGACTCATCACATGATCAAATCCACGCATGCGCTAATGAAAGACTGTGTCACAATAATTACACCTATCTGGCATGGCTCCCACTCATCCTCGGTCCCTCCGTGGAACCCTTTTCCACCTGGACAGCTGCCGGCTAAGCTCACCACGTGGTGACGCGGATCATCTGTTGGAAGATCATGGAACCTAACCTGCGGAGCGGCAACGGGGACTGGGTGTAAGATGAGCATGGAAAAAAGGGCCAACCGCAGTGAATCCCTCGTGGTTGATGTGGTGAGACAGACATTCTTCTTGATCGCCTCAACTACGAAACCGTTTTCTGTGGGAATAATTATAGGACAACATATATATGGTGTTCTATGTGAATAGAACTAGTACTCCATTGCTTTGGCGCCAATTTCGAACTAGACCGATCAATTTGGGATAATGACTTCTGCCTTTAAAACTGGACGGCGGCGAGTTTAGATAAGAAAATTCATTTTTGGAAAATGATTTTTGCCTTTAAGCAAGGCGAACACCTCCACATGCCAATGGTGAGGGATTAGTGGTTAGCTTTTATGGTTACGCCAAGGGGGTGGATGCTCGCACAGCTTGCGTGTTTGCATTGCAGTTGGACTGGTAGGCTTGACCCTACCAGTCCCTCAGTCTTGAAATGGCTTCGAGGCAGAGTCTCGAGCCGGAGGCTCGGGGAAATAGAAAAATAGTCTGTTTCAAAAGAGGCGTCTTCTTCACCTTCTTCTCTTGCCCACCCGAACGGCCGGCGTTTTCCTGTCGAAAGGGGCAAGAACACTGTCCTCTTGCTCTTTAAACATAGAAGCGCACTAAAATGCTTGGCCGAGGACAGAAATCTTTCAAGGCTTGTCTCCCACTTCCTTTTATTTGTCTCCCAGTTCTTTTCATTTGTCTCCCAGGCTGGGTGATTGTGGTCGGGTTCCCGGCTGGCTTGTCGCCCACTTCCTTTCATTTGTCTCCCACTTCTTTTCATTGTCTCCCAGGCTGCCACAGAATTCAAGCAAGTGTTTGCACTTGCCACAGATTTTTTTCCAGTACTTGCCCCTGCCACAGAAATCTTTCAAGCGTTTGCGCCTGCCACAGAACTTTTTCAAACGTGGCACCTCAAGTGTTGATTTTTGACTTTGACCTTGTTGATTGATCTATAGAATTGAATTTGAGTCTGTGGTTTTTGTGACAAGAATTGGCCTGAAGGCAACGATGCTAAGTTTCTCAAATGTACAAAATATTTGCGATCCAGGGTGTCCCGTTTTCCAAGATGTACCCTGGACCTGGAACACCATTACTGACATCCAAAAAAGGCAATATGCTATTGCATCAGTTGCAGGTTTTCTGAAACACGGAAAAACATGGAGGGCAATCAAGCTTTCTGGGAATCATTGCAGCTGAATGAGGCGGTTTTCAATAATTCACAAAAGCTTTGCCGATCCACGGCATTGAGGCTCAGAAGTATAATTTTGGATTGTGGGAATGTGAAAATTCAAAGTATTTGAGCGTAATGCCTGCCGGACATGGCCTCCGAGCTTTTGTAAGGCTCAATGACATTCAATGACCCTCAATGAACAAAATGTGAGAGCAGGTTGGCTTGCACATGTCAGCGACACCTTAAACACACTCGACGCTGGCACAGGGTTTCAAGCACCCGGAAAAACTGAGACACTCTGGCTCGCTGATTTGCGAACAAATTGCGACCGAACTGAATTTGCTCGACACTAAATTAACCGATTAAGGACAAACAAACATGTGTTATTACCATGTTTTTGGCTCCTTAATTGGTTAATCCAACGTCGAACCAAATCAGCTCGTTCACAGTTTGTTTGCAGCCGTTCGCAAATCAGCGTGCCAAGGTGTTTCAGTTTTTCTGGGTGCTAAAAATTCGTGCCTGCAACGAGAGGGCTTTAGATACCATTGGCAGTTGCGATCACATTTGATGCTGCGTTGAAAAACCTTAGCGTGACACCATTCCTTGAAATTACACATTTTGATTAAAATAACAATACAGTACATAAACAAATGTCTGCCTTGCTCTTACAAGAAACTCTTGGAGGCGGTGCTCTTGTGCACTCCTGTAGGAAACTCTTGTGCGAGAAGGGTCTTGTGAGACACTCTAGCCGAAAGCTCTCAGGAGGTGATGTTTCTGAGGCTCCGCCAGATCTGCGCCTCTGCTCCCGTCCAATCCCCTCCCGCTCCCGCTCCCAGATGTCGTTTGTTTCAAGCGTTTGCCGCGCCGTTTGAAGGCTCCGGAGACCTCCCAGAAGACCTGCGAGAAGAGTGTCCAACCGAACAAGTGTCCGACCAGTCGCTCAAGTGGGATGAATCGGGCGTGGTCGAAGCCTGAGTTCCTGGTCCTGTGAACATGGTGCCCTCACCTTGGTGCCTTCACCGTTGGTGTCAATAGTCAAAAGATAATTTACAAAGCGTGAGTGATACTGATGGGTTGGTCTGATGGGTCATGGGAAGGAGATGATCTAAATGAGGTACACACCATTAGACAAACGAAACGAAAGGCATTAAAACACACAACGCACCGATGCCTTTCGTCATGATTGAACTCATCGAGTTCACCGGGTCATCAAGTCACGTGACCACCCGAGTTGCCACCGTTTCGGCGTGGCGTTTCGGCGCTCGTCGTGGGTCCACGCGTTTAAACGGGCGGGCCCCGCAAAGCGAGATCCATTGGTTGATGTCGGTTTGACACTTCACCGAACTTTCCCACCTGTTGGATTTGAGTTGGGGGTTCAAAAACCATGGGCCCCACAACAAAAACGGTGAAAGGATGTGACAAGCTTCTCCACTTTTCCTGGGTAGGTGGGAGAGTCCCTCCCATTCGGTGTCGGATTCGTAGGTCGGCCATGGAACAATCTCCGCCAGACTGCCTAAAGTAGAGGGCTGACCAACATGTGAAACTGTTTCACTAAGTCGCGCAACCTCGTCAAGCAAGTCTTAAGTGCCGACTCCATGATCTTCCCGGCACGTACAGTAGGTACTCCTATGATCTCCTATGTACTCCTGTATACAGGACCTAGCAAAATAGATCACGAACCAGTTTGGACTTGTAGACATACTGACATACTTACCCAGATGCTCCATGGGACTGCCATAGGACTGCCGATCAGGCCAGGGGTGGTGCCAGGGGTGTCAATGTAGGCATATATGGCAGTCCCATGGAGTGTATGGGTTCTAATATAGACAGCTTTCGCGAGCTTTTCGACTTGGAGTTGGGCCCAGATTTCTATCATCCGTGTTCTTTAGGAAGCTTCGTTTCTTTTCAAAACCTTGCTACTTCTCCCTGAGGAGCGTATTTAAACCAGTGGATTCGACACCTTACAATCACATACTCTCATGCGGATGGTTGAACAGTTGGAACGTACCTCGAAGAGTGGATTCCCTATTTTTGCCCTGGATACCATCTCTTTTTGAACTGCTCAAGGCCACTGATGGGGCAACCCAAGCACCAACCAAAAGTATATACAAACATACCAGGCTAAGAGGGACCGTCATGTTCGTCCGGATGACTCTCAATTTTCCAAAGCAACAGCTGGAACCACAGAATGCATGGAAACCCAGCATCACTCACCAAGCTTTGGCAGTTGTGCTGCTCGCCCAGCTTGATTCACCGATCCAAAAAGGGGGCAGCTGGACGACCCGAAACGTGTGCCACCGCGCCACGCTCCTGAGGCCCTGGCCACCCCTGCGCTTAAGTCGCCCTCCTCGGCCAGTAGGCTGCTGCGGGCATCCTCGGTGGCGAACACTAGTGACTGGATGATCTCTATAGGCAAGTGATATCAAGTAAGATGAAACGTGTGGGGCGCGCGGGGCTTTAGGTATTGCCCGAACAAAATAACTGTCTTTTGATATATAAACGCACTATATGGTCTTGAAAGAGTTCCAAAGCGATCCAAAGCGTCTGAAATAGGTCTTGAAAGCGTTGAGAGGAGCATAACACATCTAAAACATGATGGGACATCCTACTGGGGTGTGATTGGCTTTCCACATAATTACCAGGATGTTCATCCTTTTCCTACATGAACATTGGATTCCATCTTCAGCTTCAACGAGGCACATCTTTTCTCCCTGCCGGACGGTGTGTGACACAATCAACCCTTCAACCAACCATCCATTTGTACCCTTCCGTGGGTGAAACGGAGCGTCCGAGCCTTCACACCCTCTCCCGTCCGCCTTCGTCGGAAGCCCACCGGCCCGATGGGGATTTTCTCAGTGAACCTTCCTTCCCTCAGTCTCCGAAGAAGGAAAAGAGGTTTGGCGACATGATGTGGATGGTTTGTGTTTTTCAGGGCCTTATGGGATGTGTCATGGGTTTTAATTAACACCCAAGGAAACACCCATTTCACAGGCTTCTGGCAAATTGGATCTCATTCTCCTGCTTACTTTCAGTACATCAATCCCAACCCATGAACGACTTTTTGCCACAGTTCCAGATGTTTCACTCCAAACGATTCCCTGGTGGTGCCAGAAACCAGCAACACCTGGTTGAATCCGTCTGAGTCGGTCGCACCTCCGGTCTGAGCGTCCCGAACCACGTTCACTCCAGAGACCACCATGAAAGCTCCGTCCGGTGAGAAGCACAGCTCCTATGCTCCGGCCAAGACCGCTTCGCTCGTCCGGTCTGGTAGACGGTCCGGTCTGGGTAGTCACCCCCCCCGAACGGATGGGTACAAACGGATGGGATGCTGCACAGTGACAGGCTAAGGTTTTTCTATTGGCCAAAGGTCAAGAAACATGGTATGATGATGTATGATGTTTCGATCATCTTCTATCTGTTGGCCACGAATCTGTGCGGTACAGTTGATGCGGACACCAGAATGAAACTTCATAACACCATCTCGCAATAAGCCTGTGCCAACATCCACGCCCAGCAACAGATCTCCCTCAATAATGTGAGTTCGTCCTTATTTTTCATTCACTTTGGCAGCACCTGCTAAACAAGCTTGTGCCAACCTTGCGTTTTGTTTTTTCCGGATACTTTTTGCATCACACCCAAGAACCAAGCGTTGAGCCAACTTCCTGACCTGGAAACTTCTCTATGGTGTGTAGGTCTGTGCGTGCTCAGACTGACCCGGCACTCTCTAATATAGTGGCACGCATAGAGTTTAACAACGTGTTTAAAACAATATAGAGTGCTCTGGTTATGTTTCGTCGTCTATGGGCTGCTGTTGTTACATGATATTGAACTTGTCAAACCGCAATCTCGTCTCTTAAAGAGAAATGAAGGAATCCGGTCTCCCTCGAACTTTCTGGGGCGGTATGGACTGTAGTTCTTTCCATGGACGAACCTGAGCTAAAGATTTCTTGAAGCTATGCGGCATTGAGTTGTCAAACCACTGGTCAGCGATAATTGATTGAGGCCAGCAGCTCCATCCATCATGACCACTTCAAAAAATTTACCACGTTGTTCAAAGGCAGGACCAACGTTAGCTTCCAGCATCCTGGAAAACAATGTGGCAACTGACCTTGCCATGAATATCATACAATCATCTGACGGAACAAAAGCATGACTCCTTTTGAAGTCCATGGGTGTTTGAGTTGGTCGCCAATGCTCGCAAGCATGTTGGTAATGATTCCGAATAGGCCATCTTAGTTGGATGCAAAACACACCAATTCCACAGTGAACATAGCGAACTAAGATTAGATCAAACGTCTTCGTGGGTATGGCCAACCGGCAAGTGAAAATGGCCTGCTTCATCAAAGTAGTTGGCCAAGATCAGGCATCCACACATGATTCCCGACAGGGAATTCTTCAGCTCTTGGACTGTGTTGTCCCCTTGCACCCACAACCTTCCTACAAGGCTTCAACCAAGCCTTGCAAGTTCGAAAGAATTGCAAAATCACATTACCAAATATGGCAAGGAACAAGGGGCAAAGCGCAACCCTCTTTGGTTGATTCATTCCAGCAGCGATTGATGGTGTAAAGATGTGTAAAGTAGGCTTTCCCAGGTAAAGGATCCGCCCACTGAAGAGTGCTCTGCAGTCAAGAACACGCAGCATCCCCAGCCGTGCGCGAGAGTAGCGCTAAGTTGGATTCCAGTCCTTTGATGTTTGTCGAACATTCCGCCCTTGGGTGGGACGTCCACTTCCAACTTGGATTTATCATATCCATCAACTATGACACATAGCTGCTCCATTTTGTTTCGGCTTAGGGCGATTGCACTCCAGTAAATCTCACGACAATGAAAGGTTTGGGTCAAGTGGCCCAGCAGTTGATCAGTCGCGGCCGCGCGGTCCAAGAGCGACGTAGCATGTCGCATCCGTGATTTCAGTTTATCACACACCGGACATGCAGAGTGTTGACGTCGCTTTCTGAATTTTATACATCTGCGCCAGGGTATTGTGGCACGGTAGAATGTGGCTTGGCTTGCGCATTCTTGATGGTTGGCACTGCAATATGTTTGGTAACGAAGACACATCTGTGCCCAGTTGCCTGGTGGCAACTCTCTTCCATGCCATCTTCTGTGGATCTCAAGCCATCAGGCAAGTTGTGGGTCCTTGCAAAGTGTCCATTCCCTGAACGGGTCATCTGCTGTTCACCAGAGTCCGATGCCCTGTCACCAGGCGCTCCAAGCGCAGATTTCGTGGCAGGCGTGGCGCTCATGTGTGTGCGCTCTCGTATCAGTATCTGTGCTCCTGTGCTAGTTCTGATGCTCTCATGTTCTCACTTGTGCTGGTGCGCAAGCCCTCGTCTATGCCATGCTTTCGTTGTATGCTCCCACGTGTTTGCTCACATGTGTGCTCTCACGTGCGCTCTTCTATTGCTGCGCTCATGTGTATACTCTAGGGGTTCTTATGGGAAGTGTAAAGGCCCTGTGTTCGATCGGCTACTCATTGGCGTGCGCGGCCAAGTCACTGCTGTTTACGGCACCTTCACGTGTTGGCGCGGATGCTTGCCTCGACTGCGCTCTCGTTCACGGTGGTGCACATGTTCGGACCTGGTGGTCACTTTTCGTGGTGTGCGCAAGGTGTTTTGGTGATCTCACGCTGCATCTCGCGAAAGCTTCGCTTTGGCATCTCGATCTTGTCTTTGGAGGTTCCTGATTTTTCGCTGCGAAATATGTTGGCAGAACTGTGCGTTTCCATTGCAGATTTCGTGGCAGGTGCAGCATTTTGTGAACCTCAAACTGCAAAAACGCAGCACTTTGCACACCTCGAAGTGCAGATTTTGTGGCAGGCGCTACCACACTACCAGAACCACACTACCACAACCACACTACCACTACCACACTACCATGACCACTACCACTACGGCCACTGCGACTACTACTAATTTCTACACCTCTCACCACTACAACTACAATCACTAACTGCCACAAGGACAACAAAATCGTCTTCTCACCCATCATGGTGATCTTCTGAACAAAACCATACGGGTCTCTTGCGGGATCATTTCTGAGGATTCCCTAGTTATTGCATCTTGCAAGACTCTGTCCATTATGAGCCATCTTCTCCGCAAACAATGACTCACACCCTCTCTCTATACATCTTATAGCATCCCCAAAAAACTAGTTCAGCCGTAACAATAACATACAATAACACTATACAGCCGCTTGATGACACAGGTCTCCCTTCCCGTTCTGGTCTCCCTCCAACCGTCTCCGTCTCCGTCGCTGTCGCTCGGCCGTCTCCTGAATATCTCCACTCTGAGGTAACGTGGCCACCTCCTGCGGCTCCGACCGTAGGCGCGGTCAAAAGCGTTGCGCCGAGAATCGCTTGCGACGAAACGCGGGGTTCGTGGTGAACATGAGTCGAAGCTTAATCGTTTTGTTCGTGGTGAATGTGTGTTGGCACGAAGCTCAAACTGGTTGAACCTCCCCGTTTGTTGAGAGTGATGTTCACAGCTGTAGGGCAACTAACCGTGTGAGGTCAAGTAAAGATTGCAATCTGCAACTGAACTTCTGAGGCATATCGTCGCAAAAGCTGCCACAGCGCTATACCGGGAGTATACATTCCCCAAATGATCTTCTCTCAGCATACCACCAGAACATTACCTTTTGCGTTCATCTTCGTTGCGTTGGAAAATCCCTGTACTCAAATTCAACAGGTTGAAGGAACACCATGCTACACCACCGATCACCTCGGCAGTGACTTTTCTTTTGACATCATTTAGCTACTAGGAACAAGAAGCTAGTAGTAACCAGTGCATCGCTTCTAGTAACAAGTGCCTTACTAGTAGTAACAAGAAGCTACTAGGAACCCACTTCGACTTCGCTCCAACTCCACTCGTCGTCCTGCAACACCGGCACGGCCAAGAGCACCACCTGCAGCACCGATGACGACGAAGACCACACGAAGGCTTTGAGGTTCACAGCGACACGACCCACCGACACGACCGAGACCAACGCCTTGTCAACTCGCCTTGTCAACGCGTGATGGAATGATGGGACTGTCTTCGCGTGGGCAACTGCCTTTGAGGCTTCAAAGATCTCTTCGGTTTCTGTCTGTCGAAGCTTTCGTTACAACCTCATGTAGCCAAACCATCGCAAGGCATCTGGCAAGCATATGGAATGGACCTATAGATCTTCCAAGTATGCCACATACAGTATCTGCCATCTCTGCCACATTATGGAACGTACTATGCCATCTCTGCCGCACCAACGTCAATTCGGATCCTGTGACCGGGCAGAACCCGTGACCGGGCAGGAAGATCCTGTTCGGATCCACCGACCGAGCCTCCGACTTCGTCATGCCAACGGTGTCTTTGGCACGGGTCAAGGAAGGAAGGAGCCGAACGTTAGCGGTTTGGGTAGCGAACCACGTTGGATCAGCGAACAAAGAACCATGGCCGTCCGGATGCGAAGCATCGGAAAGGTGCCGAAAAGTAGAACTGCGAGATGGCTGAAGATCTCCCTCAACAGGTTTCAATGAACGGCTCTGGTCTTGGAACGTTCCAAAAACGTGCATGAACCCATCCAGCACTCGAATCAAAACAATTAAGCATGTGGGGCCCCAGCCAACAAGAACCGATGGACCCAACAGCAAGAAAGCAACTCCTGGAGTGTTTGAGGGGAGAGTCAAAGAGGCTACAAGGACTTCGACGATCTGGACAACCAATCTTTTGGTCCATTGAGTCCATTTTGCCAAATGGGACACCTTCTTTTCTTTGGACACCTGCGTCCCTCGCCCCAGGGACACACGATACTTCTTGTGGTTCTTCACGGTGCACCGTGAAGTAGCAGAATCATCAACATGCATCAACCATTTCACTGTTCGCGCGACCTTCCAAGGCCACCCTCCCTGCCCCCCAGAGACGACGTCGCGATCTCCGCGCCTTGTCGCTGGTGGCGACCGCCAGGCCCTTCTCCATCGAGAAGGCCAAGGCCAAGACCTGTCGACGAAGCCAAGAGTTGGTCGTTGAGTCCACCGGTTCGTGAAGAGAACATGGCGAGGGACAGGGCCCACTGGATACACCAAGAGAACACATGGGACAGCTGAGTTCTGACAACAAGTGATCATTACCCTTTCCGAATGACCTCCTGGACATTCTTCCTTACGTGGGAAGTCAATTTTCCTTTTCATTCCCTTCTTTGGGCGGTTTCTATCCCCGTTTCCAATGACCTTCCCCTTTCATGTGAGGTCCCCCAAATCCCCAAACAAATGCCTCCTCCTCGCACCGGTGACTTCAGCGGTTTGCGCGCCACCGCGTCGACCGTGCCGACCACGCGCCTCGCCGTGGACGTGGAAGGAGCCGTTGGACTCGACGCTGGGCTTGGAGCTGCTACCACCCAGCTGCCAGAAGTGGACACGTCCTCCCCCCGCCCCCGGGTCGTCGGGAGGCCATATTCGACCGTTGTTGGCACCTTTTGGTTCGATGCTTTCAGCTTCGGAAAGGGACTGACTCAAGAGCAAGAAGGATGTTCATTTGGGTGTGAATTTTAGGGAGACCTCCCCCCCTGGAAGGGAAATAGACTAGTTACTTAAGACTTAAGACCCATCATGCCATTGGTTGAAGGTCTCCCTATTAAATTACACACCGGATGTTTGACCTATTGGGATGAACATGAAAGGAAGGGATTTCAACACCTCCTCGTCGACCGATGGCGGTGCCGTAACGGCGTCGACCGAGGCCGAGTCTCCTGCCCGATCCGCCGCCGCGAAGAGCTTTCCACCTGGGTCGGACCCCAGAGACGTCGGACACGTCGATGAGACGTCCCGGGTTGCCGCGAAAAGTCACGCCCGGTAGGTGGACCCTGTCCAGTCGATTCGGTTCATCCCTGAGATAGGGGCTCTAATTACCTGAGAAGATGCTTGGGGTGGGTGCTAGGGGGGGTCTAACCACCATACCTATAAGGGCATGCTTGGTGTTCATCCAGGGTCCCCAGGTTTGGACCTCAGTGCTACGGAGGAAAAGGACCGGAGCAAAGAACGCGACGAGGTTCGGGAAGACTGGAGGTTCTTCCCGCGTAGGGCAGGGCCTTTCCACCAGAGGCACTGATGATTAACTATAATGCTTGGAGGGAATACCCGTATGTGAACCATGCGCTTTCTTCTTGTGGCCAAAAATACATTGCGAACTGGTCTCTTAAAACCTTTAAAGTCAAAGACCAGTCCATAGGTCAGGTGAATCATGGGTGTTTCCATGCCCTGCCACATGATCTGTTCCTCTCTTTCCCTTCATGTTCACCAACAATAAAACCATCTTCACTCCATTTCACTCCCATCCTGTTTCCCTTCATTTTCACCAACCCTTCCGGATACAAAACAATGAAACCATCTTCACTCCATCTTCACTCCAAATCCTTTGGGAAGAATCACACAGTCCATCCTTTCCTTCTTCCGACCAAACAGTCCCTCCATCTCGCTCCTCCACTCCTTCCTGGCCCTACGGCCCGACCCCTCCGCCGGCGTCCGGTCCGGCTCGTCCCGTCGCTGGGCGGTTCGGGCTGGAGGAGAAGACCATGGCCGCACAGGAGCCGATGGACTCCGACCACAGCCGTGTCCGGTCCAGGACCTCCGGGCGGAACCGGTGGGGAACGGAGCGGAACGGCCATGCGGAGCTGGGCGGACATTGGAACCAGGGAATATCCATAGAATATCCATGGAGACAGAATCAATCAAAGGCCTGGTTGATCCTGGTTGTAGATACAACACACCGACTCACTAGCAGGGACATGGACGTTCTCACCTGTTTGGTCTTCGGAACATGCTCTTCACAGGGGCCATGTGACGTGTTCGTCAGGTGCGAGCTGGGCCGGTCAGAGACGACGCCGGTGCGAAGACGAGGCCGGATGGCGGGTGGGTCGCTCCGCACCATGCTGAACATGAAGATCTGTATAGCACAGCATTTTCCACACACGAAGTGAAACAAAGGACAGATGCGTCTATGTCTATTTTAAGAATTTTATACCATCCTTCTGAGTGCGGATCGCGAAGCCGCCTAACGTATGGACTCGTGTTAGGCCGACGGTCGCCGCTCGACTGATGAAGCGCTTGACCACTGTCCACAAGCGCTTGTCGAAGCGCCGGGCTGCTTTGGACGTGTTCAATGGCTTGGACCTGCGGGTGTCGGTTTCCTCGATGCCCAGGTTCTTCAAGATCTCGGAAGCAGGCGCAGTCCCCAAGTGGGTCTCTGCGCAGGCCTTCGCGTTGAGGCACTGGGGTCAGCCCATTTCACCTACGTGCAAAGGCAGCACTGAGCGTGATTTCATCTGGCTCAGCCCGGAAGCACAATGTCTTTGTCGACAAGTTCAGGTCCTTGACATCTTTCACGAGCACAGCACTGTTGCCGTGGATCTCTCGTTGGATGTTCCACTCAACCATACATTCCGGTGGCCGCGAAAAGAAGCGAAAAGAATAGGTGCAGGTGCAGGAAAGTCACTGTCACTGGTACTACAACAGCCTGCTACGCCCATATTGGCCATCAGCTGGAGACCAACCTGCATGGGCATGTGCGTACTCAACCTGGTCGAGGCCTTCTTCCTATGCAACTTGGCCGCTGCAAACGTACGGCGCCTGATCGACATACGGAACAGCCTCAGTTTTGCCGCCCGAGCCGGGAAGGCGAGGTCACTCTGCGTAGTGATGCTACGTCCCACGCAGTGAGATCTTGGTTCAAACAGCTCCGACGCATTCAAAGCCTCCGCCAATCTCTCACCAGAGGCTCTGGACACTGGGAGGCTCAGTTGCACCGCTGTGAACTTTGGAGTGCCATACTTCGAGCTCAGGGCTTTGAGGGTGGCTTTCGTCGATTTTGGAGTCGGGGATATCCTGATGGGCATCCACATGAGCCTGCGGAACTACCAGAATGCTTGCCAACCTTGGCACACATTGAGCTCATCTTCGCCACGTTCCGTCAGCGCTTTGAAGCCTTTGAGTCTTGGCACATACGACAATGTTGCCGACTTCTCAAGCAGAAGCATGACGCCACTATGTCAGGCCTTTTTGGTGAGCACCGCAAAGTGCCCAAGTCAAAACCTGATCTTCTTTGGCTTGATCACTACTACACTGTTCTTGGCATTGATGCCCCTACCTGTGCATTGCACTTGGATCGCCCTCTGGAGCTTGCTGGTCGCTCTACCTGGACACTCAATGGGTGCCGCATTTTTGTGCTGGACTCAGAAGACGATACTTGTATTGTGAGTCATTTGCCGCCTCTGACTCCTGGCGATGAACTGCACCAACATCAGGTTCTTTCGCAGATTGATGAGGTCCACTCCGCCTTTGTGGATTTTTGGCGGCCCCGCTGGAATGCCTACAAAGACGTCTCTGCTACAGACTGGGCCCGCGTTACGGCCTTTGCTCAGGCTCACATGAGGCCCCTTTCTTTTGAGCTTCCGCCAATTGACCATGACAGCTGGCAACGCTATCTACGGCGCTACAAACCTACAGCCGCTCGTGGGGTAGATGGTCTTTCCCATTTGGACTTCATCAACATGCCCCCACTGCTGGAGAAACAGGCGCTTGATTTGCTCGGCAGAGTTGAAAGTGGCGAGCCTTGGCCTCAGCAGACCCGTTTCGGAGTGGTGCAAGCCTTGGCCAAAGTTGAGGGAGCACATGAGGTGTCTACTTTCCGCCCAATTGTGGTGCTGAGTTTGCTGTACAGAACTTGGGGCTCTATCCGCAGTCGACAACTCTTGGCACGCTTGACGCCACATTTGCCTGATGGTCAAATCGGATTTGTCCCGGGTCAGGAAGCGATGAGTATTTGGGCACTTTGGACTGCAATGGTCGATCTTAGTTGCCAAGGAGGGGTTGCACTTTGTGGCTTGAGCTCCGACCTGGTGCGTGCCTTCAACTGCATCCCAGGAGAGCCGCTTCTTTGGTTGGCATCCTTCCTTGGGATTCCTGCTTTTGTGGTTACACCTTGGCGGAACTATCTGCACAGCTTCAGTCGCTCCTTCATGATCCGTGGAGCGCTAAGCGAGGCTTCCCTAAGCACAGTTGGCCTTCCTGAGGGTTGTGCCCTTTCAGTTCTTGGGATGTGCTTGCTGGATAATATGTGGCATTGCTACCAAGCAGTTCTCTGCCCTGGCATACGGGCCTTCTCCTATGTGGACAATCTTGGGCTTACTGCTCGAGATGCTGGCATGTTGGCCCTGGGCTTTGCTTCCATGCAGGCATTCTTTACCCTATGGCATATGGAGATTGATTTGGACAAGTCCTACTGCTGGGCCACTGACGCTGTGTCCCGCCGGGCATTGTCAGCGTTTCCTATGAAGGCAGCCACTCATAGTTGTGAACTGGGCGGCTCTCTCACCTTTGGTGCGAAGCCTAGCGTTGCTGATCTCAAAGCACGCATGCAGCGTCTGGACAGGAAGTGGGCAATCTTGGCGCGCTCTATGGCCTCTCAATACCAGAAGCTCACTGCTTTGGCCGTCTCATTTTGGCCTGAGGGATTGCATGGTGCACTTGCCTGTCGCTTTGCACTTCATCACTTGGCTGGACTCCGTCGACGAGCAGCACAAGCACTTGGATGGAGACTTGCGGGTTCTTCTCCGGCTATGCGCTTCTTATTCAGCCCTATGCCGTTTGCTGATCCGCTGCTCTGGCACCATAAAACGGTCCTGCAGGGCTTCCGACGC